CACGCTGAGGATCTTCCTCAGCATCGTCGCCGTCCTCGACCTCAACCTGATGCAGCTCGACATGAAGAACGCTTTTCTGCAGAGCAAGCTCGACAGGGTGCTCTACATGTACCAGCCGGACTACTTCGACGACGGGACCGGCCGGGTGTGTAAGCTGTTGAAAAGCCTCTACGGGCTGAAGCACTCGCCGCTGCTGTGGTACAGGGCTCTTGATGGTGTGCTGCTGGGCGCTGGCTGGAAGAAGAGCCAGGTCGACGAGGCGCTCTACTTCAAGACCAGCGACGACGGTCTGACCTGCTGGGTGTTAGTCTACGTCGACGACCTGCTCGCCGCCAGCAGCAGCACCGCGATGCTGAAGGAGCTGAAGGAGCTGCTGGAGGCCGCCTTTGAGCTGCGTGAGATCTCGCCGGTGGAGAAGTATCTTGGGCTGGAGATCGTGCGCGACAGGCCGGCCAGGAAGTTGTGGCTGCACCAGCAGGGCTACGCCGACAAGCTGCGCAGGCGCTTCGTCGACGAGGAGCAGGGCGGTCGAGTCCCGAAGACGCCGGTCTCGGTCGACGCCTACGCTCAGCTGACGTTCGACGGCGAGGAGGCTCAGGAGCGCGAAGAGGAGGAGTACCGGCAGAAGGTCGGCTCGCTACAGTTCGCGGCAACGACGACGAGGCCGGACATTGCGTTCGCCTGCAGCAAGCTGGGGAGCGGCCTCACGGTGAGGAGCGACCAGCATTGGCGTGAGGTCGACCGTTGCCTCACCTTCCTCGCCGACACCCGCGACACCGCCCTGGAGTTCGGCGGTGGACCAGAATCGTTGGAGCTGAATGGCTATGTCGATGCCGACGACGCGGGCGACAAGCAGAACCGGACGAGCACGGGAGGCTATGTGTTCGTCTACGGAGGGGCCGCCATCTCCTGGTCGAGTTCGCGCATCAAGTGCGCGACATTATCATCGACCGAGTCGGAGTACGTGGCGGCCACGGATGCCGGCAAGGAGGGGCGTCGACTTCGCTTCCTCCTTGCGGAATTCAAACTGCTCGATGCTGGGAAGCCGACCATCCTCCGCGTCGACAACAAGTCGGCAATCACTGTCGCTAAGGGCTTGGGGCTGACGGGCAACCTCAAGCACATGGAGCGACGCTACGCGTGGCTGCAGCACATGGTGAGGCGCGGGAAATTTGTGCTGAACTACATCCCGACCACCGAGCAGCCTGCGGATTTGCTGACGAAGGCGCTGCATTTTCCGGCTTTCAACCGGTGCTCTGTCGCCATCGCACAAGTTCGTCTGGTCGACGTCGGCGACGGCGACGACGAGGTGCAGCAGTAGGTGCCGTGCCCTTCTGCACGGCTGGTGCGGTGACGGCGTGCTGTGTGCGGGGTGCACGCCGAGGACGGGTTCTCTCCGTGGAATACTGGCGTGAGGGCTGGAGGCCCAAGCGTGAGCGCGGCAGGGGAGTGTTAACGGGAATGGAGTGTTGGCCCCGCACTCGCTTGGGCAACGCCGACAACTTGGTCGGATGTACGGGAGTAGCAGCCGACTGCTCAAAGTGGGATAGCTGCTCGACAGGTTACGTCGAGCTGCAGCAGACCACTGTGGTGTTGCTGTCGACCAGGATGCTCGACAGCTGCACCTGACTGGCCTGGGCGACGGGTGAACCGTCCGGGAGGTCGACGAAGCAATCCGTCGACCTACAGTTCGATGGGGAGGTCAACGGAGCGTCCCGTCGAACTGCAGCTCGACCGGGAGGACGACGGAACAGTTCCGGTCGACGGAAGGGGGTCCGTCGACCAAGGGGTAACTTGACGGGAGGTGTGGTCGACCAGAGAGACCCAGTGGTCGTCGAGAGGCACCTGGGAGTCGACCAGAGCACCAGGGGTCGACCAGGTCGACCGGATAACCTGCTCGACGAGTTCTGCGGAGGCACGCAAACGTCGTCGAGATCGCGATGGCGCCGGCGACTTCGGGCTGGTATCCCGAAGTCGATGTGGCTCGTCAGGCGCAGACAACAGCCGACGGATGCCCAACGAGGCAAGTCGGACCAATCGTCTGCGCACACCTGCGAGCGCGCGCACTGCTGTGTTCTACGGGGCACGCCGTCGACCTGCTTTGTTGGCAGGTCGCCCTTCTGCAGTGCTGGCGCGGCTCCTCTACGCAATGCTGGCAGGCGGTCGACCGAGCTGCGCTGGCGGTCGACCAGGCTGGCTGCACGGTTGCTAGGTGCCTGATGTAGTCATTGTTGTCATTGCTTCTTTATTATTCTGGAATTCCGACTTTGCTAGTGAAAACTCTTGCCAAATTCTTCCGTGAATGTGCAAACACTAAGGAACTAAGCAAAGCTAAGATCACCTCTAGTAGTTCGTGCCAACCCCTGTAGTCTAGCTCACTACCGTTGTAGAGTTAATCTCCACACTTGACACGTTACCGCGATCGCGCATCGACCAAACAGCGACAGCTGTGTGGCTCGTTCAAATTGCTGCACGTGTCAGCCAGCATAGAGCCTACCAGATCGGGCCAGCTGTATCCGAACCGAATCTCGCTGTGCGCTTACCGAACCTATCCTTGTGCGAAATTTGGTCGCAATAAGTTGCGAGATAGCACAACCAGTAGTAGCACTCCTTTGGTTTCGCGTACGCGCAGTTGCATGCGCAGAATGTCCCGCTTGCCAATGTTACCGACCAATCGCGTTCGTTTTCTACCGAGTCGCGCATGCATCGGTGCGTAAGAACGAGTTCTTTCGGTTTTTTGGGGGGCGCGGAGCTTTCGGTGGCAGCCTGGTGGGTTTCACTGAGCCACGCAGGGCCGCGCTAGGTCCAAACCTGGTGTGATCCTGGGTGGCCGACTTCGCCCCACGTTTCCCGCGATATCTCCGCGCCCCGTACATCCCCAAGCGTGGGCGGTTTTTTTCCTGAGCCGCGCCGTAAGAACATCCCAGTCCATACACGTGTTGGAGCGCGGGAACGCTCCAAATCCACGTGTTGGAGGAAACCTATTGGAGGAATGAGCTGGCAAGCTGACCGCGGGCAAAAAAAAACTAAAACCCATCCGGAACAGCATCCCGTTCGGGAGCCTCAACCCTAAAATTTTAGGGTTTTGGCTCCCGAACGACATGCCCTCCATGTGGGGTTTATTTTTTTCCTTGCCCGCGGTCAGCTTGCCACCTCATTCGACTGCCAGCTGGCGCTGGCAGTTGAATGAACCTTTTAGAAGGATCGCGTCGCGATTTGAGTGAGTCGAGGCGGCTTGTTCTGGAACAAACGAGGATTCTCGCCATCACAATCACGCCAATCTTTGACGCTCCACCCATCGTTGGCCGCTCTACAAATATGCAGGAATCCCCGAGTCCAGCACAAATACCTGATATCTCAAGTACGCATCTGGTTATTTCACAGCACTCGCTGCTCGAACTCCTAGTACTAAATCGTCTGCGCCAGCTTACTAATACTTACAATCGCGACTGTACTTTCAAATATTGGGCGCCGTAGTCGTTAGCACCCACTTCCTTTAAGCAGCTCTTTTCGAAACGATAAGCCACAATGGCCTACTTCTCGCTGCAAGCACTGACAAGCCACACCAGCGTGCGGGAAACTCGCAAGTCTCATACGGTAATGTCGCAGAGAAAGCAGCAACAGCAGTCCGACGCCTCGTCGCAGCTTGAAGCGCAGATGCGATGGGTCGACCAAGCCCAAGATCTTTGCTCATCGCCCATGTCGCCGACGTCGCCCTTGTCGCCGTGGTCACATAATCAGGTCCTTCCGATTCGAACAGCGCGCCTCGAAACGTTCTTTTCGTTGGACTCTCACGTCTTAGGATCCGGTCAGTTCGGGACCGTGCGGCGCTGCAACGAGTGGCTCACAGGCGCGCGCTTTCGCGTGCAGACGATCTCAAAGGACAGGCTTAGAAGCGAGGCGGAGCGGGAGGAGTTGCGGCGGGAAGTTGCGCTGATGCAGCAGGTTGGCGCAAGCGGAGCGGGGGAGGCGGGGGAGGCGCAGGGAATGGCGCATCCCGGGGTGGTACAGTTGTGCGGAGTTTTCGAGGACGAGCATTCAGTGCATTTAGTCATGGATCTGTGCGAAGGCGGCGAACTGTTTGACGAAGTCGTGCGACGCGGGCGACTGAGCGAACGCGACGATGCAAACGTGTTCGCGCAGGTCGCATCGGCAGTCGCACACTGCCACACGCGAGGCGTCTTCCACCGCGATCTCAAGCCCGAAAACATCTTGCTCACGCACGACCCCTCCGCACCGTTCTCCACCGCACCGCTAACCACAAAACTCGCGGATTTCGGCCTCGCGGTTCCCCTGCAATCAGGCGATCGCGCAAAGGGCGTCGCGGGATCTCCGTTCTACATGGCGCCTGAAGTTCTCCTCGGCGAATACGCTTTAGAAGCCGACGTCTGGTCCCTGGGCGTAATCCTGTACATCTTGCTCTGCGGCGCGTCGCCTTTCTGGGGCCCGAAGGATAAGATGTGTTTGTGGAGGTGCTTAAAGGTGTAGTGGATTTTAGTGGCGAGGAGTGGGCGGGAGTGTCGGAGGAAGCAAAGCGGCTCATGCTGTGCCTGCTGCAGAGGGATCCCCAGCGACGCCCCACTGCCGCGCAGATTCTTTCCCATCCCTGGATCCTCCGGCATTGCCAAACCAGCGTGGTAGGTTCAGAGACAGGCTCAGTAGCAGGTTCGGGTTACCCGTTGGCTCTGGGTGTAGGTTCGGATTTGAGGGCAGGCGTGGAAGCAGCTTCTGCGATGGTGGTGTGACATCAGATGTGGTATTTATTCTTGTTCTCCAGGTGTGCATTTGTTGCCGCACTTCCTCCCACCTCACTGATGTTTTGCTTGGCCTGGCAATCACCCTAAGCAGGGCCTCAGATTCACTTTTAGGGTCGTCGACCCATCAGGGTACCCTTGTGTATAAACCCTGATTGACAGTGTTTCTAAAAAAAAAAACCTGAAATATCAGGGTTCTCTTTGAAAAAAGGCTGATGTATCAGTGTTCAAAAATATAAAAGGTTGTTAATTACTAAAAACCTCTACTTCAAATACTAAGTCAGTAGCAGCCGTGTTATCATCACTGCCTTTGGCTTCTCTCCTCTCCTCAGCTTGGGACACCAGTACGTGACAGTGCTCTGCCGCAGCACACACATACACGTTGAAGCTGCAGGGGCAGGGTGTGGAGGAGGAACCGGATTGACAGGCAGGGTGAGGCAAGGAAAGAGAGAACAGGAGGGAGAGAGGGGGGAAGATTGGCACAGTTGGGGGGGAGACGACTGGGGGAGAGATGGAGTGCACGGAGTGCGGGGCAAAGGGAGCAGAGGAATGGACGGCGGGCGCGCGGGTCATGCGCGGATCATGTCGTCGCGCAGCACGACGATCTGCGCACCGCACGCGGTGCAGATGGCCTTTTCAACCGCGGTTCGTGCTGGCGACGAGGCAGCCTTCGGTTGCCGCCATTAGCACGAAAAACTACGCGTCGTCGAGTCATAGCGGGCCTGCGACGCTGACGGGAATTGCCACGTGGTCTACGACCATCTAGCAGAATGCACTGCGGATCGCGTCGAACGAGAGCGATGTGTTCGGTGAGACAAGAGGAGATTCGGCGGCGCTTGCGATGGGTTCGATTCCCGACAGCCCGCCCTTTCTGGTGCTGATGGCGCCATGAATTAGTGCAGACGAGAAAGCAAGAGAGGAATCGGGCTGAGAGGGAGAGGGAGAGAAACAGGAGGAAAAGAAACAAGAGATTGGGTTGGAGGGAATGGGAGCATCAGTGCTTGCTGGTGCAGGAACCCTCGCAGCCCTCCAGCACAACATGGTTGCCACATCCTGATTAGCTATCACTTCATGCTACAGCGTTACTGCCCAATGAAGTGCTGGCACCGCAGGAATATGAGATTCCCTGTTTTGCGGGCAAATGCACACGGAACAAGTAAGAATTGCTTTCAGTGTTAGTTTCGTTACAACGCCGTAGAATCAGTGTACTTGGGAAACGAAAGTCTGAAATTTCAGTGTGGCCTAACAAAAAAGGCTGAAAGATCAGTCCCACAAAAATCTCAACGCTGATTTTTCAGTGTAGGTAAAAAAAGGGCTGCCAAAATCAGGAATTTCAGGGTTTTTTTCCTGATATCTGAGGCCCTGACCCTAAGCCTGCCTGCTAAGCATGCTATTGTACAGCTTTGGAGGCTTGCCTAAGTGGCTCGTCGACCTGCTTAGCTGCTGCTTCTGTAAAAACTCCCACAGCTACTAGTTCTATCATGTTCAAATACCCTAAACAATATTGGTTTTTTATTACCGTAGATGGGTTATTCAAGTTCAGAGGTCGACCCTTATCTCGGAAGCAAGAACTCGGAGTGAGAATCGAAAGCAGGAGCGCATGGAGTACAGTATAAAAGAACAGCACATGAACAGTTACACCAATCATGAATGGCCTAGCCAGACACACAATAAGCATCACTGCTGTTCTCTAGAACTGATTTTACTCTGCTGCACTGTCAATACACTGAGTTCACATCAGGGCCTCAGATTCACTTTTAGGGTCGTCGACCCATCAGGGTACCCTTGTGTATAAACCCTGATTGACAGTGTTTCTAAAAAAAAAAACCTGAAATATCAAGGTTCCCTTTGAAAAAAGGCTGATGTATCAGTGTTCAAAAATATAAAAGGTTGTTAATTACTAGAAACCTCTACTTCAAATACTAAGTCAGTAGCAGCCGTGTTATCATCACTGCCTTTGGCTTCTCTCCTCTCCTCAGCTTGGGACACCAGTACGTGACAGTGCTCTGCCGCAGCACACACATACACGTTGAAGCTGCAGGGGCAGGGTGTGGAGGAGGAACCGGATTGACAGGCAGGGTGAGGCAAGGAAAGAGAGAACAGGAGGGAGAGAGGGGGGAAGATTGGCACAGTTGGGGGGGAGACGACTGGGGGAGAGATGGAGTGCACGGAGTGCGGGGCAAAGGGAGCAGAGGAATGGACGGCGGGCGCGCGGGTCATGCGCGGATCATGTCGTCGCGCAGCACGACGATCTGCGCACCGCACGCGGTGCAGATGGCCTTTTCAACCGCGGTTCGTGCTGGCGACGAGGCAGCCTTCGGTTGCCGCCATTAGCACGAAAAAACTACGCGTCGTCGAGTCGTAGCGGGCCTGCGACGCTGACGGGAATTGCCACGTGGTCTACGACCATCTAGCAGAATGCACTGCGGATCGCGTCGAACGAGAGCGATGTGTTCGGTGAGACAAGAGGAGATTCGGCGGCGCTTGCGATGGGTTCGATTCCCGACAGCCCGCCCTTTCTGGTGCTGATGGCGCCATGAATTAGTGCAGACGAGAAAGCAAGAGAGGAATCGGGCTGAGAGGGAGAGGGAGAGAAACAGGAGGAAAAGAAACAAGAGATTGGGTTGGAGGGAATGGGAGCATCAGTGCTTGCTGGTGCAGGAACCCTCGCAGCCCTCCAGCACAACATGGTTGCCACATCCTGATTAGCTATCACTTCATGCTACAGCGTTACTGCCCAATGAAGTGCTGGCACCGCAGGAATATGAGATTCCCTGTTTTGCGGGCAAATGCACACGGAACAAGTAAGAATTGCTTTCAGTGTTAGTTTCGTTACAACGCCGTAGAATCAGTGTACTTGGGAAACGAAAGTCTGAAATTTCAGTGTGGCCTAACAAAAAAGGCTGAAAGATCAGTCCCACAAAAATCTCAACGCTGATTTTTCAGTGTAGGTAAAAAAAGGGCTGCCAAAATCAGGAATTTCAGGGTTTTTTTCCTGATATCTGAGGCCCTGGTTCACATGCAACTCATGGCCACTCCACCCATCCCTGTATTTGCTTTGAAAGGTCCCCAGAGCCCAGCACAGCCACTTGTACCGTGGTATCACCATAAAGGAGCAGCTCTTCTCTCTCTGCGGTTCGGACTCTTCCATACCAGTGCCACCACCTACGTAGTCAGCTCAGTGCTACGGGGCATTCAGCAGCGCCATGCGGGCCCACATTGCACAGCACACGGCCGTCATAGTGCTGCTGAGCTGAGAGCAGTCACTCGTGGTATCGTTACCAAGGAGCAGCTCTGCTTTGTTCAACTCTGCAACCACCACCCACCACGCCTGCCTGCAAGCAGCGCTAAGCAAGGTCCACATTGCAGCACCACAGACGTCATGGAGCTGCAGCCACTTGTGTGTACATAAAGGAACTGCTCTGCTTTCCTCATTTCCGCAGCCACTGCCAACACCATGCCTACAATCACCATCCCTACCATCATCACTAGGTGGGGTCCACATTGCGCAGCACCACGGACGTCATCGAGCTGCCCAGCGCCGCCACTTGTATCGAAGCTGGGACATCAGAGTAGCTCTGGGTGGCCACCAGCGTGTTGTTCTCCGTCGCTGATGTGCGATACGTCTCCAACACGCACTCCTGACCCGCGTCAAACGGCTCAAACTTCTCGAATTGAAACGTCGCAGTGTGCGGGGTGTCGCGCTGGTTGACGATGAAGATGGACACAGAGTGCTGGTCAGGATGGAAGAAGGCCGCAATGCAGTGCTGACAACCGCCGGACGTGTCGATTCGCAGAGGAAGGCTTCCTCGCGGCGCCCCGCGCACAAACTGCTGCAGCATGTAGAGCTTCTTGGAAATCACCAGATCCAACGGCTTGACTTCTGTGTCGTTCAGCCGGTAGATCCTGATCGCCAAAAGCCCCCATTTCAGGAACGCGTCTGGGTTAGTAGCCACCCCACTCACTGCCTGCCAGAAAATCCAAGCGGAAGCCCCCATGATGTTCACAGCCTGCACTATCTGCCGTGCTGTGAACAGCATCACACCCACATCATTGCCGACCACCCACATCGGCCCCACCTCCGACATCCACACCTCCTTGCCAAGCCCGGTCGCCATGCGGTGCATTCCCACCATCACGCCTTCCATGTACCGCCGTGTATCCGTCGTGTTGGGCGGCGGCGGAATGTACCCGTGCACGTTCAGCCGAAAAAGGCCGGCCTTCACTGCAGCAGGGAACTTGTATGTATACCGGAGAGTGGCGCCGACGAAACTGTCAAACCCCGCGACTTTCGTTGGGAGCTTTCGTTTCTTGAGGTTGGCGGTGAGGAGGCGAATGAGAGTGCTCAGCTGCTCAGGGCTGTAGTTGCACCCCTCGTTCTTCGAACCCTGCGACCACCACCCTTCCAGCGCCTCATTTGAAGGGTTCATCGTGGAAAACGTCACGTTCCAGTACCTGCGGTAGTGCTCGATCACAGACGCTTGGTAGTCCGAATACGCCTGGAAATACTCGGGCTTTAAATTACACTTGCCCTGTTCAGTCCCGGCCGTGTCCCCGCTGACCGTCATCCACCAGGGCGGCGAGTATGAAATCGCCTCCACCTCGTCCACATTCCGCGCCAGGGCGGCGAGCATCGTCCGTCTCTGCCGCCCGTCCGCCGTCCAGTCGTAGGGACCGTTTGGCCGGACGCGGAAGCCGGGGAGAGAGCGGGTCTCCCAGGCGGCGGTGAGGAACTGGGGGCTGTTGGTGTAGTTGACGCTGCCGCCTATGAGGTAGCGCGCGAGGTTGAGCCCGATGCCCTTGTCCTTGTCAAACAGCAAATCCATTATGAGATTGAACTGGTCGTCTGGCAGCTTGCCCACGTAGTTGGCGAACCTGAGAACCGAGGTGCATGGGGCATGGGCAGGCAGGAGGCATGCCGCACGAAACATAAGAGAGTTGGTCGTCTGGTAGCTTGCCCACGTAGTTGGCGAACCTGGGGGGGCATGGAGTAGTGAGCCATGGAACATGAGGCATGGCATGGGGCATGGGGCATGAAGCATGGGGCATGGGGCATGGGGCATGGAGCATGGGGCATGGGGCATGGGCAATGGAGCATGGGGCATGGGGCATGGAGCATGGGACATGGAGCATGGGGAATGGAGCATGGGGCATGGGGCATGGGGCATGGAGCATGGGGCATGGGGCATGGCATGGGGCATGGGGCATGGGGCATGGGGCAAGTGGCATGAGATACGGGGCAAGAGGCATGGGGCAGGGAGCATTAGAGAGCAGGTTCGTAATGTGAGTGAACTGGTCGTCTAGGAGCTTGGGCACCTAACTGGCGAACGTGTGAGGCAAGGGGGAAGGCGCAAGGGGCGTGGGATGTGGGTTATGGGATGTAGCCATGGGCAATGGGATCGAGCATGGGGTATGCGGCAAAGCGCATGGGGCATGAAGCATGGGCATGGAGCATGGGGCATGGAGCATGGGGTATGGAGCATGGGGTATGGACCATGGAGTAGGGGACAGGGGACAGGGGACATGGGGCATGGGGCACGGGGCATGGGACATGGGGCATGGGACATGGGGCATGGGACAGGGGGCATGGGACAGGGGGCATGGGACAGGGGGCATGGGACAGGGGGCATGGGACAGGGGGCATGGGACAGGGGGCATGGGACAGGGGGCATGGGCAGGGGAGGTTGATGCATGCACGCGCACGGAGGGCCTGGAATGGAATGGGCATTCAAGCAGGTACCCTTGCCAGCTAAGCAGGTAGTCTTGCCAGCTAAGCAGGTTAGGATGCCAGCTAAGCAGGTTACCATGCCAGGTATGCAGCTCACCATACCAGGCAAGCAACTCACCATGCCAGCGAGGTTCCCCAGCCTCGCCACGTCTGTCCGTTCCAATCAGGGGCGATGGTGATGGTGGAGGTGGCTGTGAGGCGTGCGGGGAAGGAAAGAAAAGGGACGACAGGGGAGGTGAGCGAAGGGATAGAAAGAGAATGGGGAGTGAAGATGGTGAAACGGCCTCTCCACGTCTGTCCGTTCCAATTGGAGATGGTGGTAGGAGGGCGCTACGGGGCGAGGCGACACAAAGGAAGGGACTGGTAAGGAAAAGAGAGAAGAGGAAAGGAAGGGGAGGAAAGGGAAACAAAGAAATGGGAAAGAACTGGTAAGGGAGATAAACGGAAGGAGAGACGACGCTGGGCCAGTCACGGCACCTCTGTGCCGCGGGGCGATGGTGCTGGTGAAGGGCGGTGAGGAGACGAGAGGTGAGGCGAGGAGAGACGAGAGCACCGTGCCGGATGGTTGAGGAACAGGAGCCAACCGCTGGAACGAACAGATCAGAATTTTAAGAGGAAGCTTAACTAACGCAGTCAGGACATGGGGACATGAGAATATGGGGACATGGGGCATGGGGCATGGGGAGAGTCGAGTGGGGGACTGCAGGAGTCAAGGCACAGTGAGGGCGTGACGAAGATGCTATATAGTCACAGCGAGCGACGCTGGCTATCAGAGCACAGCCTCGGCTGTCACCTGATTCAACCTTCACTCCCGCTCGTCCTCCCAACCATCAACTCTATAACGCGGGTATCTCCCTCCCAGATCTGGTCGCGCGTATGATCGCATCAGAAGGTCTCAGCCGCGCGACAGTGGCCCCATGACTCCCCCCGTAATCCCATTGCCCCCAATGTTCCCCCCTTGCCCCCATCTTTCCCCACTTGCCCCATTTTCCCCCCGTCGGCCCCAGCCCTGATTCGGTAAGAATATCCCTCCCTTCCCGAGGCCCTCCTGTTCTTGCATCACGTAAACGAAACTCTATATCGCGGATATCTCACCTCCAGATCTACACACGACAATGCCCCTATCGGGTGTCAGCCGCTTTTTGAGTCGACCAGAATATCGTTTTTTGAGTCGTCTCGTAAACGGAGCTCTATATCGAGGATATCTCACCTCCGGTTCGACACACGCCAATGATTTCATTGTCGGGTGTCAGTCGCGCCTCGTTCCCCGCGGGCGGAGTGCTCCCCCCATCCCCCTCGTCTGGCCGGTCGTCGGGAGGGGGAGGGGGAGGCGCGGAAGCCTGCGCAATCACCACGCCTACGGAAGTTAGGCTTTGCGCGGTAGCTTGGAGGTGCGCGGAGGAAGAGGCCGCGGAAGCCACGCGCGCGGATGTTCCGCCTTGCGCCGTCGTCATGCGCGGCAGCCAGCACTCCTGCGCGGCCGGCCACAGCAGCATCCACTCCGCGTCGCACTCGCCCGCACCGGCGCCGCTGGCGGCGGTTGAAGCCTCCAGGGAGCGCCCATGCGCGGCTGACGCCGGCGCTTCCCCATCCGCAGGCTGCGAAAATACTTCCGCCGCTTCTACGGGCCGCCCCGACTTCCGCCCGAACACGTGGTGCTGACGCGGCAGCGACCGCACTGCATGGGTTAAGCGGAAGATCAACGGCGGGTGCCACGCGCGGGGCAGCGGAGTGTAGACGCTGGTGCTGTTCGCGTCGCGGTTCCTGGTCACGGGCGGAACTGAGGCAGGCGGTAACTGCGCGCCGATGGCAGCGGCGCGGGTGGCTGAGCAAGGCGAGTGAGGAGGGGACGAGGAAACGATGAGGAGGGAGAGCAGTACTAGGAGCGGGAGCGACGGGCTACCAGACCTAATAGGAACCATATTTTTTAGCGGCAGTGTACTCTATTTTGTTACTACTGAGCCTTAGAGTCCTGCCCATAATACTATTCTGTTAATAAGGTCTCGTGTCGCCCATACATGTAGGGATTCAATATCGGTCTTGAACAGGATACGAACTGGAAACCGTTAGAGGACACCGCACGGCATGTTTGTGGCTGACCCAGCATCACAGTTCGCTTCGCTCTCTATTCTTTTGAGTTGTTTTGTGCCGCGTCTGCAAGAACCTTGTGTGCCTCACGCCACTGACCACCGCTACTGGGGCTTGTCATGGCCAAACCCCTTAAACCGCACTGCAGTACAGTGGAACCGTGACGCCGATGAATACAGCTGGGAAAACAGGCACGCGCTTCGAATCACCTTCTGGTACAGTACCCGCGGTTTCGGGAAGCATGATCTGACTAGGGTCATTTGCGTGCCTGGGATCTGTGGTGGACAAGAAATGTTGTTTCGAGGACATGAATTTATGAGTTGTGAAAGAGATGGCGTTGTTCTGCAGGCGTTTAGGGCGCGCTGCACTTCTATTTATTAATTCTAAAATTCTTTGGAGCGGGTTTTGGGCGAACTTGCACGCGTTTCAGTGTTTTCGAGCTTGAACATGCAAAAACACAAAATATCGGCACCCTTTGTCAGGTGCACCAAGACTGGTTTTTTGGGGAACCCGAACTCCTACAATCCGTGCGACCTAAATGAAGTCGCACGTACATTGTAGACGTCGCATATCCAATCACATCATTTCGATTAGGCATCGGAACTATTCTGTTACCGTCGCTAGTGTTTCGTTTATTTCGCAACTGAAGTTCACCTTTTGGGGTGGTGCACTTCTCTGTCAAGTTCGAGCATTTGACGGGGAATTCTGCAGTATCGTTTGCCCGCGTTTGGGGCGCTATGGCGTTAAAGTTGTGAAGCAAGGAAAACAGGAATGAATGAACTATGAATGAAGGCAGTACAAATATGAAACCCTAACTGGGTTGTACCCCCTATGGGATACCCCACTACAGCCTACACAATAGTATAAGCTATAGATATGTTCTGACACACCCCCATAGGCAAAGTGGGGGAGAACAAGGGGTCACAAGACCAGTCAAGCAAAGCAAAGCAAAGCAAGCTCAGGGTGGATCACAAAGTCACCACACAGTCCGAGCACAAGAGCAGGGCCAGAGGCCAGTTCACATGCAGGAGTACAAACATATATATATATAAAACTAGACAAGCAAGAGCAGGTATATATATGTCACAGTACAAGTAAAGTCAAGAGAAGAGCAAGTGAGGCAAGACAGGCACAAGACCCAGCTGGGTGCAGAAGCGCTGATGGTCACAAGGCGCGAGTGCCTTGGTGAACACATCAGCAGTGTTGGCCTCAGAGGCCACGTACGCAAGCCGCAACTGTCCACGCTGCTGTAGCTCACGAGCAAGGAAGTAGCGAAGAGCAATGTGCTTTGTTCTGTGCTCCAAGCGCTGCTCTCGACACAAGGCCAGCATGGCCTTGTTGTCTACGTACAGCACTGGAGGAGAACGAGGCGGCTCTCCAAGGTCAGTCAGCAGGTAGGTGAGCCAGCGAAGCTCCTCTGCAGCCATGGCCCCGGCGTAGATCTCAGCCTCACAACTGGAGCCGAGAACCGAAGACGACCGAGTAGACCGCCACGAGACAGAGCCGGAACCAAGGCTGAAGGTGTAACCCTGTGACGACCGCTGCGTAGCCTGGTCGTCAGCCCAAGACGCGTCCGCGTGGCCTGTAAGGACCACTGGACTCCGCCCTCCAAGCACTAGCCCCATGCCCGACGTACTGCACAGGTAGCGCAATACCCTCTTCGCTGCAGCCATGTGCTCTGGTCGGTGTCTCCCACGAGCAACATAGCGTGCAAGAATGCTCAGAGGGTATGCAAGGTCAGGTCGTGTGCAGGTCATCAGGTACATGAGGCAGCCAACCAGCTCTGCATACGGACCACTCGACTCTACGGACTCATCCGAAGGCAGAGCTGAGAGTGAGTGGAGAGTAGGCAGAGGAGTGGCCTGAGGCGAGGAGTACGTGAAGCCGAAGCGCTGAAGGACCTGCTGCACCATGTGTGACTGAGTCAGGGTAATGGTGCGGCGTGCTCTGTCCCGAGTGATCTGCAAGCCAAGGTAGCTGCGCAGTTCACCCAGGTCTGTGCACGTGTGTCTCTTCAGCAGCTCGGACTTCACGTAGGCGAGTCCAGCAGTGTCGGCTGTGGCAAAGACCAAGTCGTCGACGTACACGAGGATGTAGAACGGCGGCAGTGAAGTGTCGGTGCGCAGAAACAGCGACGGGTCAGCAGTAGAAGGAGCAAACCCAAGAGCCGCAAGCGTAGTCCTCAGTGTGTCGTGCCACTCACGCGGTGCCTGGCGGAGACCGTAGACTGGCCGTCGGAGGCTCCACTGGGTGCCAGGAGGGAAAGTCCCAGTGAAGCCAGGCGGACGGCGCAGCCAGATCTCCTCGTGCAGGCTACCCTGCAGGAACGCAGTGCTGAAGTCGAGAGAGTGAAGCTCGTAGTCGCGCTGAGCAGCTATGTGCAGCAGCACCCGAAGAGTGGTCATCTTCGGGGTGGGAGAGAAGGTCTGAAAGTAGTCAACTCCCTGCCGCTGACTAAAGCCACGAGTGACGTACCGCGCCTTGAAGACAGGTGGAGAGCCCGGCGGCCGCTTCACCCTGAAGATCCACATGCCACTGACGATGTTCGCCCCAGGAGGGGGAACCGCGTCAACGTAGGTGCCTGTGGACTTCCAGGAAGCCATCTCTGCATCCATAGCTGCCTGCCACTGAGAGGAGTAGGGACCCTCTACGGCCTCCGCGTAAGAACGCGGAGTCGGGATGTCTAGTGCATCCGGGTCTCCCTCAGGGGCAAGCAGTACAGACGCGAGATGAGGTGAAGCAGCCGCTAGGCACTGTAACTCCTCCTGCCTGTCCTCTAGGACGTCCGTGCCAAGAGCACACTCACCCCCGACGGACGGAGGACAGACAGACGCAGACTCAGCAACAAGACGAGCAGCGTAGTCGAGACGACAGCGAGCAGCAAAGTCGACGAGCTCAGCGACTAGAGCAGACGCAGCAGTGGACTCAAAAGAGGGGTCAGTGACGACAGTAGCAAGCAGACGCGTGACAGTAGGACTGGCAGCACGAAGAGAGTCCGACTCAGGGTCGGCAAGCGCAGGAAGAGAGGACTCAGGAGGAGAAGGCAAAGGGGCACGCAGGGGAGCAGTGGACGGACGCAAAGACATCCGGTGCGTGCCAGGGACAGGAGGAGGACGCTGACGCGAACTGCGACCACTAGCGCGAGCAGCACGAACAGGCGACGCGGGACGAGACGCAGGCTCACGACGCTCAGCAAGACCTCCAGTAGGACCAGTGTAAGGAGAGGGAGCAGGCAGTGGAGAGGAAGGCTCCAGCAGAGACTGCGACTGGACAGGCGGTGGACCCTCTACTGGAGGAGAAAGACCAAGAACCTGCTGCAGGAGCGGAACGAAGTACGGCCGAGGCCGCGCGGCAGCTCCAGACGCAGCAGGGACAGCACCAGCACCCTCAGCGACAGCACCAGCGCCACCCACACCTCCAGCGGCAGGACCAACAGCAGTAGGCGCAGCACCAACGCCCTCAGCAGCTCCAGCTCCAGGAGGACCCGCAGGTCCAGCAGCTCCGGGACCGGCAGCACCCGCACCCTCGACGGTCGAAGAAGCTCCAGCTCCAGCTCCAGCAGCACCTCCAGACTCAGCAGCACGCCTCCAGCGGCGAGCGAACCACTCGCGTAGCTGCTGTGGAGAGAGGGGCTCCCGGCGAGACGCAGCAGCAGGAGAAACCCCAGGCTCAGCAGCTCCAGACACAGCAGGGACAGCACCAGCACCCTCAGCGACAGTACCAGCGCCACCCACACCTCCAGCGATAGGACCAACAGCAGTAGGCTCAGCACCAACGCCCTCAGCAGCTCCAGCTCCAGGAGGACCCGCAGGTCCAGCAGCTCCGGGACCGGCAGCACCCGCACCCTCGACGGTCGAAGAAGCTCCAGCTCCAGCTCCAGCAGTACCTCCAGACTCAGCAGCACGCCTCCAGCGGCGAGCGAACCACTCGCGCAGCTCCTGTGGAGAGAGGGGCTCCCGGCGAGACGCAGCAGCAGGAGAAACCCCAGGCGCAGCAGCTCCAGACGCAGCACCCCCAGGCTCAGCAGCTCCCGACCCAGCACCCCCAGACCCAACACCTCCAGGCACAGCACCCCCCGGCTCAGCACCCCCAGGCTCCGCACCCTCCGCAGTAGCACCCTCAGGCCCAGTACCCCCAGCAGTAGCACCCCCAGGCTCAGCACCCCCGCGCACAGCACCCCCAGAGTCAGCACCCCCAGGCTCAGCACCCGCAGCAGCACCAGAGTCACCAGTAACCTCGACCGGGTCAACGGCGTCTACCTGGGACACACCTGAGGGGGCAGGAACCTGAGGGGGGAGGGGGTCTACCGGGGGGGGAACCGGCACAAGGAAGTCCGGGGGAGGGGGGAGGGAAGGAGTGCGGTAGGGGAAGAGACGGTAGAAGGGGACTGACTCGTCGAACGTGACGTCCTGGGAGGACAGAACACGACGAGAGGAGGGGTGGTAAAACTGCCACCCTGGGGCGTGAGTGGGGAAGCCAAGGAAGACACAGGGAGCGGCACGAGGGGACAGCTTGTCCGCAGACAGGTCGCGGACAAACGCCCGAGATCCCCAGACACGGAACACAGACGCATCGCCAACCTTCCCCGTCCACAGCAGGGCTGGGGACATCGCAGGCCGAGAGACCCGGGGGTGAAGGTTGAGCTGATGCGCCGCGTACCTCACAGCAAACGGCCACAGAAAATGGGGGGCAGCCGCATGCATCATGGACGTACGAGCGACATCCATGACCATGCCAATGCGGCGCTCAGCAATCCCATATTGCTGTGGTGAGTCCGGAAGCGTGAAGGACTGGCGGATGCCTCGCGCACGACAGTAGGCACGCAGAAGGCGAG